GAGAGCAGGCTTCCTGCAGAGCAGGGAGCCCGATGCGGGGCTCCATCCCAGGACTTTGGGACCATGACCTGAGCCGAAGGCAGACACCCAACGACTGAGCCACCCAGGCGCCCCGCTAATGATTTAATTTTTAATAGGCCACCATCCAGTAGAATTGAAATGTGAGACAACAGTACTTTCTTCTTAGTCTGAACTTCAGAATTACTGTTTTGTCTAAGGATTGGAGTGAGCAACTTTCGGTCTCATTGTTTTGACGAAGTTTTTTTACAGAACTAGTTTTAGAGGTATTATAGGATATGTGTCTCACATACACAAGGGAAATTTAAAGCAGGGATAATTAAATAAATGTCTTAAGGTCATAACATGTGACAACAGTCAAGACCACAACCTGAGAGTAGCAAATGAAATTCTGTTAATAAGATATTGTGCCTCACCCAGCAAGAATATAATAATCTTTGTTTCTTTTAGCATACTGTCTCCCCCTCATGCCAATTTAATGGTTCCTGAAAGACAAAAGTTATGGCTAGCATAAGGAGAAACATGTTTCACTGTTAGTAAATGGCTTCAGAAATTCATGGACACTTTAATTTTAGAAGAGAAAATAATTTTGGAGTAGAGACTACCAATATATTTCAAGTTAAACTTCAAAAATCATTGCTTGGTATATGCGTAACAGGCACTCAGATTAATGAATTAATACCGGTATCACTCAGGGTTTACCAGACAGACCGATAGAAGCGACTGATTGATCTACCCGTTCATCCATCCATCTATCCATTTATCTATGGGAGAGATTTATTTTAAGGAATCGGTTCACACAATTGCGGGCATGGGCAAGTTTGAAATTTGGAGGGCAGGCTGACAGGCTGGAAACCCAGGCAGGATTTCTATGCTACAGTCTTGAGGCAGATACCCTTCTGTGGGAAACCTCAGCTTTTGCTCTTAAAACAAACCTTCACTGACTGGATGAGGCCTATCCACATTACGGAGGGTGATATGCTTTAATCACATTTACAAAATACCTTCACAGCAACATCTAGACTAGTGTTTAAACGAACACATGGGCACAACAGCCTAGCCAAATTGATACAACCATCACAATACTGTATTTGACAAAGTGGGCTTTTGGAGGGATTTGATTTGTTTTCTTTCCTGTACACCGTACAACCCTCATACTGAGTATTCCAAATGTTCTGGGCATCACATAGAACACAAAGTCAGAGACATATTATGCTAAGAGTTAATCACCAATGTAAAAACTGTAATAGTAATAAAACCCTGTTCTAATGAAGTACAGAAACACATCTTAGAAACTCAGTTTTCTATACATGTTCACTTATTTTATTACAAAAATATTTTTAATTTTAAAAAAGGGAAACAAAGGAGGAACGTTACCCATCAAAACTTAATAAAATGCCTTCCATCACTGACTCAGCTTTTAAATATGCAATAACAAATCCACAGAATTGCCAAGTTATTCTCTATGAAACTAATAAAACTGTAACTCAAAGAGTGTTTACCAGAGAAAGCAGCTTTTTTTCCAAAGAAATAATAGGCAGTCAGCAGTGTCACCATTTACAAGGTGACAGAAAAACAGATGAGTAGTGCATGATCTCAAAGAAGATAACCTCACATTCTCCAAACTCCCTAAATATCTAATGAGTCAGAGTTGCAAAATGCTGGAATGAGTAGGCCAAAGGACCAACACGGCCATTCTTGGGGTTTTATGAAGTACTGGAGATGTTTGAGAACTCACGGAAATGAAAAAGCCCAGCCAGTTATCATTTCCCAAATCATGTTTTATATACAAAAAGTATTTTCTGATGGAAAAGGTTGCATGCAGACCCTTATTTATTGGCCTTTTACTCAACAAAAGTCTGGGAGCACTTGGCTAAATGAAGGCATAACAAGGGCATATGCATGTGGCAACGTCTCAGAGGTTTTTCTTATTAAGAGTGTGATCATTGTATTTCAGCACGATCTAGTGGGATCTTGGCTGCAGAAAATGAGTGACCCTACGGAAGTAGGGCTGGGGAAGTACAGCTGACTCGAACAAGACTTAGGGATGCTCACCCCTTGCACAGTCAAAGCCTACATGTAACTTTTGATTTCCCTAACACTGAATTACTAATAATTTTTTTTTTTTTTAAAGATTTGTCAGAGAGAGGGAGAGAAAGAGAGAGTGCACACAAGCAGGGGGAGCGGCAGGCAGAGGGAGAAGCAGACTTCCCGCTGAGCAGGGAGCCCCATGTGGGGCTTGATCCCAGGACCCTGGGATCATGACCTGAGCTGAAGGCAGATGCTTAACCGAGTGAGCCACCCAGACGCCTTAATCTACTGTTGACCAGATGCCTGATGCCTTACTGAGAATACAGTCTATTAATTCATATTTGGTGTTATGTGTATTATATACTGTATTCTTACAATAAATAAAGCTAACAAAATGCTATTAAGAAAATTGTAAGGAAAATACATTTAGAGTATTGCTCTGTATTTACTGAAAAAAATCTGAATAAGTGGACCCACACAGTTCAAACCCATGTTGCTCAAGGGACAACATATAATAAATGGCAGAATTGTTTTTTTTTAATTTATTTAGATAGACTCTAAGGAAGGGTTAGAAATATAAATTTATATGTCTTTTTGGTTCAGTCTCAGTATCCAAACTGACTAAAGTCTTGAAACCAAATTGTTTGAAAAGTTTTATTTGGTAGCAGAAAATATCTACAATTGGATCATTACAAAAAAAGTAGTCCAAGAGGGGGAAAATAAACTTATACATAAGATTTTGCTACTGAAATTTGGGATGATTATCAACAATTGATTCAGGTTACAACAACTTAACACAAAGTCATGCCTTTTTAGGTAAAGAAAGTAGAAGTTATGTTAATGCCTTGACTAAACAGTTTATTGAAACTCATAATAAACATTATAATGAACCTAAAGAAAGTTAAGTTTATGGAAGAGAAGACAAACTAAATTATTTCAAGCTATAGTAATATATAAACATACTTAGTCAGAGTAAAAACCAATTATCTCCACAACCTGGCAATCAACTTTTCATTCTATCAAGTCTATAATGTCTACATTATTCATTTACACCATGGCTTTTCATCTCAGAGCAGTCAGTATTTTAAATTATATACAGATTTACATATAACATATCACGTTATTGACAATCAATCTTACCCTAGGATATATATATATATATGTATGTCTCTCTCCCTGTATCCACTTGATCATATGTACAACCCCTGCCATGGACCTCATTGCTTATCTGACAATAAAGGACAAGACCTACCAGAATGACCCAAAGACAGGATTAGGAGGGATCGGCTCACCTTGTTGTCTCTAAAATTTTACAGGCTCTTGTATTCATTCAAAATACTAATACCAATACTTTCAGTGGGCCAAAGAAAGAGGCACTAAGAGTGTTTGAAAGCATCCAATAATTATGATCACTGTCCATGGTATAGTCTACAGGCATAAAGTAGCTAACGTTTTAAAAAATATCAAAAATACTGTTTTCGTTAAAGGGGGGTAAGCAGATAACTTCTTACTATTAGAAAAAGAAAAACAAACACTGTTCAATTTCCAGCTTAAATGCACTTATGAAGATTGTGACCCCTGTTATACTCCAGAAGAAATTGACTTATGACCTTAATGTGCAAGTATAGCAGTATTTCTCTATCAAATTTAGTCTGTGATTAAATACAATGCTACACACACACACACACACACGCACACACACACACACACACACACTCATAGTAGTACCTTATGGGATTCTCTAAAATGCTCACAGTAGCTTATACGATATTGATGAAAGTACAGAGTGTAGATAAAAACCATCTTTTATAGCTTACTAAGTGATACCTTCCATGGGTTAAGTAGCTTAAATTATTCAAGTTTAAATTTCAATTCTTAAAAGCAGAACTGTGCTTTGGTATTCAAACCTTCATAAAATTTTACAGCTATTCAAAGTAAGGAATAAAAAAATAGAAAACATCAAACCTGTGGGAGAAAAACACTTCTGACTTACAACGTTAACTGTCACATGATTAACCAGTGGTTTCCAACTCTTGCCTGGCCAAAACTCAGCTTCTTGGAGGTGATTAGGGTTTTAAAAAATTTTGTTTTTATAAATGTGTATTTTTAAAACTTAATAAAAATGCACATTCTAATGTGTTATATATCCCCCTTCCACTACAAGAATAATTTTCTTTTTAAACCTTGGAATACAACTTCAGCTATCTCTAAAGAACCTTCCAAGATGTGTGCTTAAACCTATTATTTACACTTACTTATGTTTGTGTGAATCAAAACTTTCTTGATAATATGCAAATAAAACAAATTGGCTGCTGAAGTTTTTCGCCAACTCTATAAGGCCAATTACACGTTTGTGTTATTCGCAAATTTTATTCCTAGTAGTGGACTAAGAAACTTAAATGCGAATCCAAAATATTTACACTGATAAAATGAACTTTTCAGGCTTTATGTGTTGGGGTTACATGAAATTTTATTGAAGAAAGATTCCACTGCTAAAAAATGTTTGGAAAATAATGCTCCATAAGAAAATGTCTTTTAATTTGTTAATACAATGTTTTAATGTGATTTCATTTTCTAACACAAACTGCCTAATACATTTCAATTCTTAAATTACTCTGCACAGTGGGAAAACTTCTAGAAATTAAGAGTGCTGCAGGTCTTCAAAAATAACTTGTAAAAAATCAAAAAACTACACTAAAAAAGTTAGTCTATTGCCTTAGACTCTTTTAATAGGTAGCTTTAAACAAGATTTCCATTTTTAATTAATAATATACTTATTGAATATACTTATTGTTGTGTTCTAAATCTGAAAATGTGTTCAGCTTCCACATTAACACATTTTAGCATCTTCACACATCAACTGTGTTTTGTGTTTTAACAGTTTAGGCACATTTCAATAATTTTGGATTTTATTTTGTGGTTTCATTATAAAACAGCTTACGCACACCAAATTCAAACAATCTTTTTATTTAAAAATCCACCTGAAAATTCACTTCTGGATTTTAGTTTTTGTTTAAAAAGAAGCAAACATTTAAAAGCATCAAATGTTACTAGTCTACAATTCATCATGTTATGAACATTTTTTTAGTTCACGGGTTGGGGAAATAAACCCATTACATTGATTAGGCACAGTACTATGGCCAAGAGACCAGATATCAGGGCACATCTGTGTACTCAGGCAACAGTCAGAGGTCTGAATGGAGGGAATCATGCCTCAGCTGTGGGCACTCCTATCTCTGCCCCCTCCAAAAACTGTTAGTAAGCTCAAATCAATAAGAGATTGTATGTAACTTAGTTAAAAAACAAGCAAACAACCATACCTGCTTTCTAAATTATACTGCAAAGCCAAAACAGGTAAATATAATTGTAGCCTCACTATATAAAATTTGTGGTTTTGATATCATGTCACAGGACCATATAATAGGTGAGACAGAATTTATATAATTCCTCCGGTCATTTCAGAAATCTGGTTGGAGGAGGTCCATGACTATAAGATTTCACATTATAGCAATGCTTCAGTATTTTCTCGAATTAGGGCAGTGAATAGAAATCACAGTACAAAATCCTTAATTATTTACTGGAAAAGCAATAGGTGCTACATATGAGAATCGCTTATAGAACATCTATTTTTTTAATGTAGATATAAAATATTAATTGCATAGGGATTTAAATATAAGGCCAAGAAGAATATAAAGTAAAGCTAAAAAAATCATAGAAAGGGCACTATGGTGTCAAAAGACAGAATTTCATTCTTAAGAGTAATAAATCTGAATTACTGTCTAATTAAAAAAATCACAGTATGTTGCTATAACTAACAGTGAATGTCTGATTAAGTCCAAACTGGAAACCAATATTAGGACTTACAAGAACACTACTAAAGCTCATTGTCTAAACCTGATCAGTGTATTAGCACATCAGTGCCTGGTACGTACCTGATTAGTTATATAACCTATGTTTTGCAAATAATGTAAAGTTTAATACACGTTAACAGGTGTGAGAGCACATCATCACCGCATACCGTAAGTGATCTGTAGGCTTACTTGATAGTGTATTCCAAGGTGCAAGATCCCACCTGGCAGAATCTTCACTCAATGAACCAAAAACACTGTAATTAACAAAATATAATAAAGTTCCACCATTGAAAACTAAATGTACATGAACCAGAGAATTAGTTCCTGACACCAGTACATATATTATCCTCAGCATTTTGGAAGGCAGTGAATGATGAGTCCAATATACACTGTAGTCTAAGCTAACGGTTATCACCTCAAGTTTCAGGTAGAAAGGTAAATCGTGGATCTACTTCTCATTTTAATGTTGTTAGAGTGCAGTTTAAAGAGCAATTTCCAAATCTAAGAGTAGCTTAGTTAACTTAGTATTGTTATACAGAGTAGTGTGAGGAAAAACAAGAACTCCCAAAGGAATTATTGTTAAGGAACATTTGGGAATACCCAAACCAACGTTTTAAATGAAAAAGTGCATAAATACAGTAATACTACAAGTGAGTTAACTATGGAACAAATGTTTCTCTGGGAGCTAGACAATACTATTTTCCCACATTATTTACATGTTATGAATTGTTCAGATACCACAAAGCACCATTTACAGTCTAAATTGTTTGATTTTGTCTGAAAGGTCCTTTGACTTCAATTCTACTCAGTTGAGGATCTACCTAGAACAGAAGTGTCAAGTCATCTTCAGTTAAACAGGATTTATCTTTACAATTCAGTTCTCTTTTGTTCAGAAACAGCGAAGCAATATTCTCATTTCACAATCTTGGCTGGTGTTTCAGATTCTGTGGACTGTCTCCCGTCTGTCCAGGCTTCCCGGGTGCTCTTTAGGGCCAGGGTCTTCTGTTGGTCAACCACAACATAATCTACTCTCTCATCAGCTACACTGCTGCCTGAGCCACTGCTCTTTTGCTAAAAAGCAAAGAAAAACACATATAAAAGAGTTCTGAGTGAAATTCAGTCTTAAAACGTTGACACTCACATGCTGTGAATAACTTGAAATTCTATTGGGTCACACACACAAAATAACATTACCTCAATTTAACAATGTTGTTTTTCTCCTAACTGTATACCGTTTTCCCCTTAAATTTAAAATCACTATGTAGGGCGCCTGGGTGGCTCAGTTGGTTAAGCGACTGCCTTCGGCTCGGGTCATGATCCTGGAGTCCTGGGATCGAGTCCCGCATCGGGCTCCCTGCTCAGCGAGGAGCCTGCTTCTCCCTCTGATCCTCCCCCCTCTCATGTGCTCTCTTTCTCTCTCATTCTCGTTCTCTCAAATAAATAAATAAATCTTTAAAAAAATAAAATAAAATAAAATCACTATGCATATGCATAAGAATGCAGACTAATGCTCCTAACACGGATGGAATTCTTGTAAAATAGGGATCACAGGCACCAGGTTCATCTTAAGATACACAGCTTGCTTCTCCCTTTAGCTTAAGCTTCACTTTTTCAAGTCCTGAGAACATGTATCAGTGTTCACTTTCAGAGCTAAGAGATGTTTTTTTAAAAGCAGTATTTCAAGAATGGCAAACTACATGGGCTGACAGGACCTCCTCTTTTTTTTTTTTTTTTAAGATTTTATTTATTTATTTGAGGGAGAGAAAGAGAGAGACTGTGCACAAGCCAGGGGAGTGGCAGGGGGAGTGGCAGGGGGAGTGGCAGAGGGAGATGGAGACTTCTCCATCTTCTCCCTCTCAGCAGGGAGCCCGATGTGAGGTAGTAAAGAATACTACTAATAGTACTAGTGTGTTATTTGTGGATTTAACAAAAGGAAAAAACCAAAACATTGGACAAAAATAGCACGTAAGTCAGAAGGGGAGTAATGGGAGAGAATGAAGACAATGATTAACTTCAGATTTTGTTAAGCAAGCACTTCAAAAGTAACCACTAAAAGAGAAGAAGTGTATAATTTCTGTACCATTAAAAAGGAAAAAATTAACTTATTAGTCTCCATAACTTTGTTAATTGTGATTTATGAAATAATATTAAGTAACAGACTTTAGTAAATTTAAATTAAACATACTAATAAAATTTCCCCAAAGGAAACATGAGTCTGTGGGTTTGCAATAGGTGAGCTGATTGTGTTTATAGAATGAGATTTCACTTACCTTACGTGGTGGTGTGGATTTCCCAGAGTCTAAATCGAGATCTAGGTATTCCACTTGTTTGTCTCCTTTGGGCTTGACCATAGGACTGCTTCTTCCATCAAGACTATTACTGCCAAAAAGATTCTAAAAATGGTGATATAACAAAATCAACTGTTGGACATCCATGAGACATACTGCTTATCTTGTTTATTATCTATTAAAGCCAAAGTATTTATTTCAAGAGGATATGGCTTAAAACAATGTCTGCTTAGAAAGTTAAGTAACCTTTTAGGATTGGAGGAAAATAAGTAATATTAATAAAATTAGTTACAACTTAGCTTAGAGCAAGTTAAACGCAGTTTCAAAAGTTAAACTTGGTCCAAACTAGGACTAAAACATCAAGTTACAGTTAATTGCAATAGCACCACCTGAGCATTATTAAAATGGTATCTTTACACAATTATATTTTTAAACTAATGGATCTTTTCACTCCTTGCTTTCTAATTAAAAATTTTAATAAGTTTTATATTTTATTTAAAGGCTTTCATGTTGGGCGCTCGGGGGGCTCAGTCAGTTGAGCAATCGACTCTGGGTTTAGGCTCAGGTCATGATCTTAGGGTAATGCGGTCAGCTCTGTGCTCAGCGTGGAGTCGGCTTGCGTCTCCCTCTCCCTCTGTCCCTCCTCCTGCTTGCACTTTCTCTCTCTCTCTCTCAGTTAAATAATCTTAAAAAAAAGCTCTCACACTGAAATTAGTTTATAATATGTATGTTAACTAAAGGCTATGAACAATTACTCCACTGGCAAAGTTTGTTTTGTTTCAACCATCTGGAATTTTTACCACTTCATTTCTTCTGTCTTCTTCAGCCTTATCTCTTCCGTCCTAATAGGAATTGTACAACAGAAGCGCTACCTTCTAAAAACAGATAAAGGAAAAAGGAAGATAGAGGACAGCAATAAATGATAAAAACAAAAAAGTCCTGAGGCAGAAAAATGTAAAAGCAACAGGCTGATAGGAACCTGAAGATCACTGCTGAATAAGGAAAGGATGACATGAACTTATGCCCCTACACATATATCCTCTATGCTAATTACAACAGTCCTTCTAAACGTGTGCCAACAAATGCCTTGTTTCCCTGCCTTGCTGCTTTTAACCTCACCCAGAAATGTTCTGGACTTCTCATAGGCAAGACTATATACATATTCATTAGCAGCTTCCATCCTTGTGTCTTCTATCACATACATAGGAATATTCACGTATTATCTCATACTTTTGAAGAAAACCATAATGATGTAATATACTTAAAATTTATACTTGTTATAATGAACAAAAGAATTTGGAAACTGCATAAACCTGGTTCTGTTCTTTTTTTTTGAGAGAGAGAGAGAGAGAGAGAGAGAGAGGGGGGGTGCATACCAGAGGGGGGGGGGGGGGGTGGGGGCTGGAGAGGGAGAGAAAATCTTAAGCAGCTTCCCCACCCAGTGCACAGGCCCCAGCAGGGCTTGATCTCAGGACCCTGAGTTCATCACCTGAGCCAAAATCAAGAGTTGGACACTTGACCAACTAAGCTACCCACACACCCCCTGTTGATTCTTTTATATTGCTACTCCTTTTCTTTTAGTTCAAGTTAAACAGAGTAAATTGTGATTTAGGGAAAGGAAATTGCTAGAAACTAAATACTGAATTTATTTCCTCATTTGAAGCAGGGCTGCTGATAGCCCGTGTCAAACATTTCTGTGAATTAGAAAAAGGTGTTCCTGCCTGTAAGGCTACACAGCTCTGTGCCGGGCCCACAGCCTGGTGAGCAGGACACAGTCTGAACTGCACGTACCCACAAACATAATACTCTGCAGTCTACTGTACATATTACATACTGTACACAGCATATTTATGCAGTGAGCAAGATGCATGGCTGAATGTGAGGGCTCTATCTGTAGGAACAGATTTTTAAACCAAGTTTACCAACTACTACTGATAAAACATTAAAAAAATATTGAAAATAACATATAGGGCACAAAAAAATGTAAGCAGTTTTGCTGCTCAATTAGTACAAATAGCTATTTCCCTCTCTCTTTTGTTCCTAATTCATAAAGAAACTGAAATTTTTTTTTCTGAATGACTCCATATTTCATTCTCACATATAAAATCAAGCAGAAGTGTGTGTGTGTGTGTGTGTGTGTGTGTGTGTGTGTAAAACTTTGTATTCAAATGTGACTCGTGAAAGAACCCATACCTGGAATTCCCCTAACTGGAAATGCCTAGTGTTGTTCACAGTATTACAAGGCTATGAAAGGAACCTATGAGTTCATATGAGGTACACTTTAACTTAAACTCAAGCTGTTCCTAAAGAGAATTTCTCAGAATTGCTGGCTAAATTGTTTTCTGTCTAGTTATTATTAGAATTGGAAATTTTTTCATCTTTAAGTATTGTTAAAATTTGTGACCCTGCAAGGTAGTCCATTTACTCTTGATCTAATCTCAACTGGGAACAACCTGTTCCTGCGTTCTAGTCTTTAACCCAGTGTTTTCCCAAAACAGTTTAGAAAAACCCTAAGATTCTAGGAGTTATCATAAATGTTCTATGATTTAAAAAGAAAAACAATAGTGCTTTGATTTTCTAAAATTCTTTTTTTAAAGTACGGGAAATTATTGAACATATTTTTGTCGTCATTGTTATATAACAATATTTATGTCTTTAGTAGTGAGGTACAGTCACCCAAATTTCAAGTGTCATTTTAAGGGTTCACTTCACGAATGCCTGACTTTGGATCTCTATAAATTAATAGACCAGCATCATGGTTTCATTAAATACTGCCCGCTCTATGATCACCGGGATGGTAAATGTATCATGCTTTGAAACTTCAATGTACAGAATTTAATCTTCATTGTAGGCATAAGCCAGATTTGATCTGATCCTGTCTCAACTTCTCCAAGATAATTTTTTTTATTGACTTCATCAGTCCGAGCATAATGAGATCTTGTGAATTTCTATGGTATTCCAGTAATGTACTAACTTCCAAGAGGTATGGAAAACATTGCTGTAACTATCATGTTCTTTTCTAAGGAAGAGTTGTCTGGACTATGATGAACTCTTATAGCTGGCAGCATGAGGAAATGGAAATGGTGGCTGGCTTCTCTATTGTGAATGGGGGGGTGGATATTTTTACGGGGAACATTTTTGCTTATTTCTAACACTTAGGACCGAAGTACTTTAGAAAATCATCAGCTGGCAGGCAAAAGGACCTTTCTGGCTTAATGATATAAGGGATAAAAGAAAATTTTATTTTCTAAATTTCCTTTGACTTTCTGATTGTAATGTTTTTCTTTCTCATCTTTTCCCTTCACCTAACACTAACTTGTGACAAATCACATTTCCAAACTTGCCTATTACATGTCCTTTCCAAGATTTTTATGGTAATTTACTACTTTGGGCAAAAGGAAACTCTTTTAGTATCTCCGAAAATAATTATACTTTTGTAATAAAAAAAATCCACTCAACCACCTAAAGATAAAAATTGCTAACAATATGTACTCTGATATTGCACTGAGGATTTATGTAGACTTTTACCAGTCTATTCACTATAATGAGAAAAAAACAAGTTAATAAAAATAATAAAACACCACTTATCAAGTTGAAATATCTTGAATGCAAAAGCAGAAACCAATTAATAAAAATTGCTCTGCCTTAAAAAATTAGTGAAAGCAATATTGATATAGCTAGCTTGTATTCTAATCCAGGACTGATATAAACATTTTAAATTATCTTATTCATTTTGAACAACATATAAATTTGATATTTTAAAGTTAATTAGTTTAAGCACCATATCAAGATTTTCAAATCACCTAATTTTTGTGAGGAACCTGTTTTTGCCTAAAGTACATTAAAGACGTAAAACAAATTTGTTGATAGAGATTCTATTTTGAATCTCTAGAGTATTGCTTTAAAGAAAATAAAGTCACTAAAATGTTACTCATTCCAAATTTTGGTATCACATGCTTGCTTATCCTGGCAATACTACCTGGTTGTGCCCTAACATCTGCCTTTCCCTCTCCCACATGAATAGGTTTTTGGCCAGGCCCACTGTCTCTCAGAACAAAGGATATTTCCCAGCCCCTCTTGTATCTATGTGGCCACACAGTGTGTACGGCAGTTTCTGGGAACCTTCCTTATAAGGCAGATAGGCTTTCCTCTACTCTGCAGCTTAGAATGTGAATTGCTGGTGCAGCACCCCTTGTTCTAGGAGCATGTGAACCACACCCAGAAGATGGTGGATAGAGAAGTGGAAGGGGTCAGAGTCCCCAAGGACTTTGTAAAACAGGGCTGCCACAACAATCCTGGCTTGCCTCTCTGGACTCTTACGTGAGAAAGAAATAAATGTCTGTTTAAAGTCATTGTTATTTGTTTATCTTTTGTTACTTGCAGGTGAACCCAATCATAACTGATACACTCATCTACCAAAATACAAGTAACAGAGCAAACACTGAACCCGATTTGAGGGAAAACAAAAGCAAAATATTATTTCAACATTAAAATAGCTTGTATTCTTAAATATCTGCAGTATTTTCTAGCAACTATGTAATTTCTGGAGAACACAGGCTTGCTACAATTATAAAATTCTTGTGCCTTATGCCAATACAGCCAATCTGAAACAAATTAGGTTTGTAACAGGTCTGTAATCTTTAAGCCACATCTAAGGGTATATTATTGAAAGATTATCAAAAGCCTCCTATATAAGATCATTTCACTCTAAGAGTGCCATAAAGTGGGCCTGGAGAACTGCATTATGAAATACTTCCAGTATATTTTCTTGAATAGTTTCAAAAATCAAATATATCTTAAAAGAAACATAAAATTATGATTTTTAACTAATTTTTATCTGCTTTATCGATGCTGATATTAAACACTGATGCTTTATTGGTTTTAAACTTTACAACATTATTATTTAAAAAGCATTTTAAAAAATTGTCTTCTAGCCTTTTTCCATAAGTATATAAAGGTAAGATTTAGAAACTGGAAGAAATGTCCTGGCGTGCAGGACTTGGAAGGGCTGCTTGGAAGGACAGAAGTGAAGATGCAGACATTACGTACTGAGTCCTCGCTGGAAAGGTTTGGGTTCATGGGAACGTAATTCTCTTCACTGTCGTGGGAGTCGCTGCTTGAAGTTGTGCTATGCACTGAATCCGGTCGGGGAGATAAGGGAAACCTAGAGGAGCTAATTACAGAAACTACTGTTACAAACCTAAACCTGAACAAGTTTCTAAAATCACTTCCAAAATAAACATGAGTGATAGTTTACATTTTTTCAGAAGTATTCACTAAAGTTTACAATCATTTATTGTATACATTTATTTTAATACAACTTATTGCATACATTCAAACGCACACCTAATGTTTATGGCTATATAGTAAAAAGTATATCTTCAGGCATCAAATTCCTTGTGTAGAACAAAAAAAGTACTACCGGTGATTTGGGGGATAAGTAGAAAGTCACAGATATGAAAAGGAATATTGAAGAGTTCCTAGTTAAAAAAACTAGCTATATGAACACATAAAACACAAACACATATTTAGTGCAGGTTTGTAACTTCACATATTCTTCACATATTCACAAAAATCTTGATTAAATAACCCCCACAAGAAACTGCCGTATTTTCCAGATCAGTGGATCTTGGAAATTTCTAGCCTCACGAACCATTTATACCCTTAAAAATTATTGAGAACCCCAAGGAACTTTGTTTATTTGGGTTATACCTATTTACCATATTACAAATAATAGAACATTTCTTAAAAACACAAGAGTAATAGTCCAGGATGGTGGAGGAATAGGTGACCTTAGTCTTGTCTGGTCCCAGGAATTCAGCTAGATAGCTATCAAATCATTCTGAATACCTGCAAACTCAACCAGAGATATAAGAAAAGAATAGCTGCAACTCTACAAATAGAAAAGTGACCACTTTCTGCAAGAATGGCAAGACAGAAAAATTCACCTCAAAAGCGAATAAGAGGCAGTACCAACTGCCAGGGACCTAATCGGTATGGACTAAGTAAGATGTCGGAACTAGAGTTCAGAATAATGATTATAATAGCTGGGCTTGAAAAAAGCATAGAAGACACTAGAGAATCCCTTTCTGGAGAAATAAAAGAACTAAAATCAAACCAAGTCGAAATAAAAAAGCTATTAATGAGATGCAATAAAAAATGGAGGCTCTAACTGCTAAGATAAATGAGGCAGAAGAGAGAAGTAGTGATATAGAAGACCAAGTGATGGAGAATAAAGAAGGCGAGAAAAAGAGAAACAACTACCGGATCACAAGGGGAGAATTCGAGAGATAAGAGATACCATAAAGTGAAACAGTATTAGAATAATTGGGATCCCAGAAGAAGACAAAAGAGAGAAAGAGAGAGACAGAAGGTATATTGGAGCAAATCACAGCTGAGAACTTCCCTCATCTGTGGAAGGAAACAGGCATTCAAGTCCAGGAGTCACAGAGAACCCCCCGCAAAATCAGTAAAAATAGGTCAAAACCTCGACATATAATAGTGAAATGTGCAAATCTCACAAGGAGAGAATCCTGAAAGCTGCTCAGGACAAGAGGTCTATAACCTACAATGGTAGAAAGGCAGCAGACCTATCCACAGAGATCTGGCAGGCCAGAAAGGACTGGCATGATATCTTCAGTGCGCTAAATGAGAAAAACATACAGCCAAGAATACTTTATCCAGCAAGGATGTCATTCAAAATAGAAAGAGAGATTAAAAGCTTCCAGGAGAAACAGAAACTAAAAGAATTTCTAATCACTTAACCAGCCTGGCAAGAAATATTATAGGGGATCCTGTAAACAAAGGCACAGCCCAAAAGTAACATAAACCAGAAAGGAACAGAAACAATATACAGAAACAGTCACTTCACAGGTAATACAATGTCACTAAATTCATTTCTCAATAGTTACTCTGAATGTAAATGGGCTAAATACCCCAATCAAAAGACAAAGGGTATAAGATTGGATAAAAAGGCAAGACCCGTGGATATGCTGTCTGCAAGAGACTCATTTCAGACCTAAAGACACCTCCAGATTGAAAGAGAGGTGGGAGGGAAACCATTTATAATGCTAATGGACATCAAAAGAAAGCTGGGGTGTCAATCCTTGTATCAGACAAATTAGATTTTAAACCAAAGACTGTAATAAGAGATGAGGAAGGACACTACATCATACTTAATGGGTCTATCCAACAAGAAGATCTAACAATTTTAAATATCTATGCCCCTAACATGGGAGCAGCCAATTAATAACAAAATCAAAGAAACAAATCAACAATAATACAATAATAGTAGGGGACTTTAACACCCTCCTTGCCAAAATGGACAGATCATTTTAAGCAAAAGATCAACAAAGAAATAAAGGCTTTAAATGACACACTGGACCAGATGGACTTCACAGATATATTCAGAAAATTCCATCCCAAAGCAACAGAATATATATTCTTCTCTAGTGCCCATGGAACATTCTCCAGAATAGATCACATCCTAGGTCACAAGTCAGGTCTCAACTGGTACCAAAAGATTGGGATCATTCCCTGCATTTTTTCAGACCACAATGCTTTGAAAGTTGAACTCAATCACAAGAGGAAATTTGGAAAGAACTCAAAACATGGAGGCTAAAGAGAATCCTACTAAAGAATGATTGAGTCAACCAGGACATTAAAGAAGAATTAAAAAAATTCATGGAAACCAATGAAAATGAAAACACGACTGTTCAAAATCTTTGGGATTCAACAAAGGCAGTCCTGAGAGGGAAGTGTATAGCAATATAAGCCTTCCTCAAAAAAACAAAGTCTCAAATCACAACCTAACCTTAAACCTAAAGGAGCTGGAGAAAGAACAGCAAATAAAGCCTGAGCCCAGCAGGAGAAGAGAAATAATAAAGATCAGAGCAGAAATCAAGAAATAGAAACCAAAAGAACAGTAGAACAGATCAACGAAACTAGGAGCTGGCTGTTTGAAAGAATTAATAAAATTGATAAATCCCTGGCCAGACTTATCAAAAGAAAAGAGAAAGTACCCAAATAAATACAATCATGAATGAAGGAGGAGAGATCACAACCAACACCAAAGAAATACAAACAATTATAAGAACATATTATGAGCAACTACATGCCAGCAAATTAGGCAATCTGGAAGAAATGGATGCATTCCTAGAGATGTATAAACTATCAAAACTGAACCAGGAAGAAAACCTGAACAGACCCATAACTAGCAAGGAAATTGAAGCAGTCATCAAAAATCTCCCAACAAACAAGAGCCCAGGGCCAGATGGCTTCCCGGGAAAATTCTACCAAAAATTGAAAGAAGAATTAATACCTATTCCGAAACTGTTTCAAAAAATCGAAATGGAAGGAAAACTTCCAAACTCTTTTTACGAGGCATTACCTTGATCCCAAAACCAGACAAAGACCCCACCAAAAGGAATTACAGACCAATATCCCTGATGAATATGGATGCAAAAATTCTCACCAAGATACTAGCCAACAGGATCCAACAGTACATTAAAAGGATTATTCACCATGACCAAGTGGGATTTATTCCTGGGCTACAGGTTGGTTCAACATCTGCAAATTAATCGACGTGATACACCACATTAATAAAAGAAAGGACAAGAACCATATGATCCTCTCAATCGATGCAGAAAAAGCATTTGACGAAGTACAGCATCCTTTCTTGATTAAAACTCTTCACAGTGTAGGGATAGACGGAACATACCTCAATATCATAGAAACCATCTATGAAAAGCCCACAGTAAATATCATTCTCAATGGGGAAAAACTGAGAGCTTTCCCCTAAGGTCAGGAACACGACAGGCATGTCACCTCTTACCAATTTTTATTCAACACAGTACTAGAAGTCCTAGCCTCATCAATCATACAACAAAAAGAAATAAAAGGCATCCAAATTGGCAAAGAAATCAAACTCTCACTCTTTGCAGATGACATGATATTCTATGTGAAAAACCCAAAAGACCCCACCCTGAAATTGCTAGAATTCATACAGGAATTCAAGTGGCAGGATATAAAATCAGTGCCCAGAAATCAGTTGCATTTCTATACACTTAACAATGAGACCGAAGAAAGAGAGATTAAGGAGTCAATACCATTTACAATTGCACCAAAACCGTAAGATACCTAGGAATAAATCTAACCAAAGAGGCAAAGAAAACTACAGACCACTCATTTAACAAATTGAGGAAGACACAAAGAAATAGAAAAACATTGCAAGTTTATGGACTGGAAGAACAAATATTGTTAAAATGTCTATGCTATCTAGAGCAATTCATTGTAATCCCTATCAAAAACGCCTTCAACTTTTTTCACAGAGCTGGAACAAATAATCCTAAAATTTGTATGGAACCAGAAAAGACCCTGAATAGCCAAAGGGATGTTGAAAAAAAACCCCAAAGCTGGTGGCATCACAATTCTGGACTTAAAGCTCTATTACAAAGCTGTAATCATCAAGACAGTATGGTACTAGTACAAAAACAGACACATAGATCAATGGAACAGAATAGAGAACCCGGAAATGGACCCTCAACTCTATGGTCAGCTGATCTTCGACAAAGCATGAAAGAATATCCAATAGAAAAAAGATGGTCTCTTCAACAAATGGTGTTGGGAAAATTGCACAGCCACATGCTGAAGAATGAAACTGGACCATTTCTTTTCATCATACATAAAAATAGACTCAAAATGGATAAAAGACCTAAATGTGAAACAGGAATCCATCAAAATCCTAGAGAAGAACATAGGCAGCAACCTCTGTGACCTTGGCCACAGCAACTTCTTGCTAGACACATCTCCAAAGGCCAGAGAAACAAAGGCAAAAATGAACTATTGGGACTTCATCAAGATAAAAAGATTTTGCATGGCAGAGGAAACAGTCGACAAAACCAAAAGACAACTGACAGAATGGGAGAAGTTATCTGCAAATGCCTTATCAGATAAAGGGCTAGTATCCAAAATCTATAAAGAACTTATCAAACTCAACACCCAAAGAACAAATCATCCAATTAAGAAATGGGCAGAAGGCATGAACAGACATTTCTGCAAAGAAGACACATCCAAATGGCAACAGACACATGAAAAAATGCTCAACATCACTCGGCATCAGGGAAATACAAATCAAAACCTCAGTAAGATACCACCTCACACCAGTCAGAATGGCTAAAATTAACAAGTCAGGAAACAACAGATGTTGGCAGGGTTGCGGAGAAAGGGGAACCCTCCTACACTGTTGGTGGGAATGCAAGCTGGTGCAGCTACTCTGGAAAACAGTATGGAGGTTCCTCAAAAAGTTGAAAATAGCTACCCTATGACCCAGCGATTGTGGGTATTTAACCCCAAAGATACAAATGTAGTCATCCGAAAGGGCACATGCACCCCAGTGTTTATAGCAGCAATGTCCACAACAGCCAAACTGGAGAGCGCCCAGATGTCCATCCACAGATGAATGGATAAAGATGATGTGTTTTATACATATACACACAATGGAATACTACTTGGCATTCAAAAAAATGAAATCTTGCCATTTGCAGTGGCAAGGATGGAACTAGAGGGTATTACGCTAAACTAAATAAGTCAATCAGAGAAAGACAATTATCATATGATCTCACTCATATGTGGAATTTAAGAAACAAAACAGAGGATCATAGGGGAAGAGAAGAAAAAATAAAACAAGATGAAGTCAGAGAGGGAGAGAAACCATAAGAGACTCTTAATCATAGGAAACAAACTGAGGGTTGCTGGAGGGGAGGGGGGCGAGGGATGGGGTAACTGAGTGGTAGATATTAAGGAGGGCACACGATGTAATGAGCACTGGTTCTTATATAAGACTGATGAATCACTGACCTCTACCTCTGAAAGTGATAATACATTATGTTAATTAATTGAATTAAAAAAATAGACTTATACATAAAAACAAACAATCAAAAAACACCACAAGGGTACACAAATATTTTCTATTTATTACCTGTCCCGGGATATGATCAAACACTATGTAGCCTCTGGAAAACTCCAGCAAATACTCATGAGAGAAAGAGAGTGGAAAAGGCAAAAGCCATCTTAGCATCTTAATGAAAATAGTTTTGACCTCACAGAACCCGAAAAGGAGGGGCTTCCCAGACCATACTGTGGGAACCACTGTTCCAGGTATTTTCCATTATAGTGAACAATCAAGGTACATATTTTAAACAAAGACTTACTCTCGAGCAAAACTCCTAGTGATGGGAGATCTAACTGGGGCTTGTAGCTCTTCCCATTCTGGCAAAGGTTTTATTTCTAAAGGTGCTGGCTTGGCTGAAATGAAAAAGAGAAAAAGAGGCTTCAGTATACAGAAATTTGGAAAACAAAACAAGATCCTCACTCTCTCTCTCTACTTATACGTTACAGCCAGAGTACACCTAAGACCAGCTGGTTTCACACATGAAAAGAGTTTCATGGATGTTACGTGATTTGCCCAAGGTTACACAGCTAAGTAATGAGTGACAAAAGCTAAATCCAATAATGTTTCCTGGTTGTTGACTCAAAGTCTAAAGCTCTATTACAACACGCTGCTTCTTAATTTAATATTTTATGAAAATAAACTAAACGAGAAGAAAGGGTAACGTGACCCAATTCCTTTACTTAATGTATACTTTTCCTTATTTCCTTTTTGTAAAAAATAATTTATCCCCAAGTATGGAGCTTTAATTTCTATGTAAAAACATTTCTACTCTTCAACACTGAAGCATCAGTTATATAACTATACATATAAAATGATGTATAGAAAGCATTAAATACCAAACTTTGCTAAAATCAAAAACTGAAAAAAGAATTGACCAAATCTTTTAAACTAATTCAAGCCCAGTCTGGAAACAAATAAAAGAAAGCAATAATAACATTTTAAGGCTCAAACTCAGCTCTGAGAGAAGGCCATTATTAAAAATTACCTCAAAGTTTTAGCTTATTTAACCAACAATATCCTTTACCAAATTAAATAATAAACACTAATATTCTTATTGGCTTGATTTATAAGTGGTCTTTGCTTATGTACCTCATTATTACAACAGACAATTACCACGCTAGTAAATACCACAGAGCTCTCAGCCCTTAAGGTCAAGAATGAAACATTTTTCAGAAATAAACTAAATGAACAAAAGAACTAAAACTGTATGTTAATATTAATTATATTTTAGGAGACTATTTAAACATATTAGGTAAATATTTTGGTTACATTTCATCCTGCCACTCCAAAGAAAAATATTTCATTTTTCTAGGTTTCCTTCTTTTAGTCTTTGTCCATATATGGACATACTTTTACTCAACTCATACTTTTAATCAACTATGTTATAATTACCATCAAATTATAAAATAGCTGGTCATTTTAAAGGACTCTATAGATTCACTGGGGCTTGTAGGTATTTTTGTCTATTCAAAACAAAAAACAATGTGATTTTCTGAAGACGAGATTAAGTCTGAATTTAAATCTTGCGCACCTATACACTTAAAATAGACAAGCACAGAATATTGTGCTTAGCGAACATATTTCTTTAATTCTTATGTTTTATTTTTTTGAAACCCAAAGGTTAATGGCAGTTTAAGCTGTCAAATACTAAGTAATGGCATAAAATAATCCATGGGAAGTGATTCTTTATTTTGTCTCAGAACAGAATACATATCACATTCTATATAAATAAAGAAGGCATTTGGAACTCACAAGTAGCTCACAAGCTTAATGAAAACAATGTATGGATGTCCAAAAGGTTAAGAGAATAAGGCAAAAGGACAAGACTAAATATCATGTATTATCAAATTTATCATGCTGCTATTCATGGCACAACAAGTAGACTTGGGTCTATGGAAAGCCACAATGGGAAGACACACATTATGGGAAGCATTCACTTTAGAAATAATGCGCTAGGAAGCTTTATTTACAACATCAGTAGTACTTAAGGCTCTTCTCTTTTACTTTTTAAGAAAAAACCATCACAAAATAAATAAATTCCCAATGCCCCATCCAGCATGCGGTACTAAAGTACATACCCTTTCTTCTTGTAGCAAAGTCACCTATGGTTTGTGAATCAGTTCGCTCTAAACCATGGGTTTTGGGTCTTAAAATTTTAGGACTTTGACCTAATTGGTAAAAAGAAGACTCTCTTAATATGTTATTTTTTTAATTGGAAAAATGGATTCTGTAAAAAAGCAACAGAGCCCTGAGCAGAAATGTTACATCTCAAAGCATAAACAAAAGTTTGTTTGTGGAAAATATTTCAATCTTGCTACATATAATTCATGCTCAGTACAATGGAAAGGAAGAAGCTTCATGCAACAGTGTGACAAGCCAAGTGTTATAAAAGATGGTAAGGTTTTAGTGGGATAACCAGACTGGTTAGTGGTTATCTTTATTTGGGGGAAGGGAGGAAAGACATGTGCCATGTTAGTTATTCTTCTAACATGCCTTAGAAAACGGGATCAAATAAAAAATTATAAAATACCTCAGACCTCAAAGTACATCTTTTCTTTGAAGTCTGATAAGAAAGTACCAAGGCCTACTTCCCTAGAATATTACTTTCTTAATTTAATGGAGGTATTTAAGCAACCTTAATCTGATTACTCTTTGACCTCCTGTCCAAAAGCCCTTCTAGAGAAGCATGTTGATGCTACAATGTGTGCTAATCCAAGATCAAAACCAAGACCACTGATGTTTCCCCTGGATACTGGTAGTTGCCCGGGGACATCATTTTGCAAAGATTAAGAGGTCTCGATTCTGGAACTGCTGGTTGTTTAGCTTCTATGTAAGTATTTGAAAACAAAAATTCAGTTGCCCTCATTTTCTTTTCATTTACTCTCTGCCACATACAAGTGCTGCTGAAAAGCCCTATGAGAAGAACAGGGCGAACATTCAGCAGTGGCCTTCACTTTTTCCCATAGGAAGCCTGGCGGCCAGAGTAGCAATATCATTTAAATCAGTAATTTAAGCTGCTCTTTTCTCAATGGAACCAAATTTTCATCTTTTTTTTTTTGGCATTTACAAAACTGAGTCAACATCTATTAGATGGCAAAATTAAGAATTTGCTGATTAAGTGGCAATATCTAGTACCTTATCTACCGAAGGTTAAAAGTTTCTTAAAATAGGAATCTCTAGGTTATAAAACATGAGAGTTCTCTAATGAACCAATTTTCTAAGTTAGGCAATTAATACATTGAGTTGATTTGGAAATGAGGCAGGTCTAGTTTAAAATGTGAGTGATAAGATTTGGGGCTGTAATCCTACCCCTAATGCTGAATACCTATCCAGGGCCCACACTGGCAGGGCACTTTCCTAAAAACAACAGAGGAGGGCAGCTTTTTATCAACTCCCCAAAACAACGTACTTCCCTTCAAAAAAAGTAAGAGGCAGAGGGTAAGGGTTACCACAGAAAAATACTTATTTCACAGCTAAAAGGCTTTTACACATCAAATCCAGCTTCTTCATTTTATGGATGAGATACCCCTGAAGAACGAAAGAGGTTACGTGACTTGCTTGGGTAACAACATTACAGATGCCAAATGAAGGCTTCCCCTAGCCTCGCACCTGCTGGTGTATGCTGCTGTGCTGTCCACACTGTTTTACCTCTCGATCCTTTTGGGCAATCGAAAGTCTGAGGAAACCAGTGTTTAGAGGTCAGTTTTGAACTGCTCAGTTCAGTTCGAGATCTTATATCTACTTGAATGCCACAGGTAGCTGATCTGTGAGTGACATGAAGTTTAATAATTGTTTTCAGGGCGAATTCTGGTTTGCTGGTGTCCCCTCAGTGTGTCTTCTGCCCTCCTCCTTTTCTCAAAGACCCACTAGCTTTGGGTGCCTGGGTGGCTCAGTTTGTTAATCGTCTGCCTTCGGCTCAGATCATGATCTCCATGTCCTGGGATCGAGCCCCATGTCCAGCTTCTGGCTCAGCAGGAAGTCAGCTTCTCCCTCTCCCTCTCCCCCCTGCTTGTGCTCTGTCTCTCTCCCTCTCAAATGAATAAATAAAATATTAAAAAGAATCTCCTTTTGACCCTCCCCTTCTCTATTAAAAAGAAATAAATAAAACCTCTTTGTGCCATAGTTTCCTCATCTGTAAAATGGAGATGATGATAATAAAATACCTATATCATAAATATATTGTAAAGTTGAAAAAAGATAATACATGAAAACATTGAGAACATTGGCCTATTCTAAGCATACAATAAAAATTAGCCATTACGGGGCACCTGGGTGGTTCAGTTGGTTAAGCGACTGCCTTTGGCTCAGGTCGTGATCCTGGAGTCCCGGGATCAAGTCCCACATCGGGCTCCCTGCTCAGCGGGGAGTCTGCTTCTCCCTCTGACCCTCTTCCCTCTCGTGCTCTCTATCTCTCGTTCTCTCTCTCTCTCAAATAAATTTTAAAAAAATAATAAAATCTTTAAAAAAAAAAAAAAGACCCACTAGCTTCATTAGGTCTGGGCTTCCTCCTGATTTGTCACTGGGATTCTCCCCCAGTGGTCACCCCGCCTGTGATCTACTTCCATTCTTCCCATGTCTGACAGCTCCCTGCAGTGATCCTTCTACTACCTGACCCTGAACAGATCATCTCTTCTCCAAACCAATTCCATCTGTTAAGCACTGTCAAGGGCACACCTTGGTTTTCCTAATAGAAAAATATTGTATCAGGTGAGGTTTTTAAAGTGTTTTTATAAAATTTATATGTATTTTCCACTCCATGCAAAGCTCAAGGTTGATTTTGGGACCAAAGTCGCAATGTGGAAGTGTGGCACTGAATCGTACTGAGTCACTTAGACATTTTGTTAGCTTTATCTCTCTATATCCCTCTAAACTCAATTTGACATTGATGTTTCAGACAGAAATGAAAGTCATACCCAAATGTTGGCTCAGTACTACTTAGGAGAGAAAGGTGAAAAAAGGTCCAAGGTATTAGTACGCCTGTCTTGGCCCTGTCTTCTTCTCTACTGTCTACTGGCAAATATTTGAATGTTTTCCTGATTGTTGAAGAAAAGGGTGAAAATAAAGAATAAGAAATAAGGATAATAAAGTAAAAGCAAAAATAAACCAACTCTGGAGAAACACTGGTTCTCAAATTCTGAGAGGAAACAGAGTAACTCATTCGAGGCTCAATTTTTAAATCCACAGCAGATTACAACTTGGCTTTAGCTAGACTACCTTTGAACAAAGAAAACAACATTATTTCATTTAGAGTGCACTGATTACTGGCGAAATTCCTTCCGTGCTTTAACGCTTATGGGGGTCAATCTCTGGATCATGTGACTTGCTCTGTAATTTGGAGTACAAGTTGACAGATCTTCATCCCTGGTTCAGATCTTTTTCTGGAGATCCTAACCTACACATTTACACAACCACCCCATATGACTGTTCTGCAGGCATTCCCACTACATGTTCAAAAGGCAATTTCTCTTTTGAGTCACCACAGACCTGCTTTGTTTCCTCTATTACCAGTTGCCACTTCAGATCTCTTACAAGAAGTCATTCTAAATTCTACTTTCTCTCTAATCTTTATTTTATAAATTTTAATTTGTATTTATAATGACAGTATAATAGTCTGTTTTCATTTACCTAAGAAAATAAAAAATCTGCAAGTCTGAAGTCTTTTCTTAAGACCTTCCTGTTTTTAATACATTCCTCACTTACCTGGTCTGTTCTTCTGAAAAGTGATGAGCTCACACTGTATGGCTAAATAACCTCCACCTATACTCCAAATGTCTTCAAAACTTTAAAAATCACTGTAAGTCCCCAAGTTGAAGGACCAAATAAGAGCCAGGAAAGGGGCTCTGTTATGCCTTTCCTCATTTGATCATTTCTAAACCAAGGCTTTAAGAACCCTGGATTTGGAAAACCAAGCAAAGCACTCTCTGAGGAAGATGCTGAAAAAATGTGACTTTTGTAACATTTTACATTAGAGAATACAGTCTTTTTTCCTAGCATATCCTTAAATTTTAGCATGAGCTTTCTAGGGGCCAACCTGATTATGTTACTTGCCTGCATAAAACCCTTTAATGGTGTACTCAGAATAAACCCAAACTCATTAGCATGGACTGTAATACCCTCAGGATCAGGCACCTGCAAGGCATTTGGCATTTCTTCCTCCATTCATACTTTGCTCCCCTCCTCCCTCCCTATCTTATTCCCTCCCTCCCATCCACAACCCAGCCAGTCCCATCTGCCCTCTTTTAAAGCATCTGGGTATGCTGTTTATTCTGACTAGAAGATCTTCTGCCATCCCTCCCACCTCTACCATCATTTAATTGCCATTCACCCTCTCAGACTTTCCTCAGGGGAGCTCAGATAACAGTGCCAAAAGCTTACCTCAACCACAGCCCCTTTCACGCCAATTACGATAATGTGTTTACTTTTCTACATCCTCCACTAGACAGTGAACTTCTTCAGGGAAGCCACCTTATCTTCCTGTGTTTGGAGACCCAAGGCCTAGCAAAGGTTATATCCTATAATTGGTAGGCATTTAAATCTATGATGATGAACTGCTGTTCTCTTAAAGCTGGTAGTGTTTAATCTGATCAATATCATAATTTTTTGTTGGTCTTTTAAGTGGGAAAAAAAGAACAACTGAATGTTGTTTAAGAAGTTGATCACCCCAAATACGGTCAAAGCAGTCACATGAGGTCATGTTTCAAATCAGATGCAATTGTTTTTGCAAAGTCCATACACTATCAAGTATTATTTTCATAGGTACTGCTTACATAAATTCAACACAAAGTGGAAAATTTATTTTGTTTTACTACAGGTTTAACTTAGCCTATTTACTCTTCTGCAGTTTTACAGATTACACTATTTCCATTAGCTATCTCAAAAATCAAGAAAGAAGAAAGATAATTCACAACATTATTATCCTCTGATAATTCCAAAAACTAATCCAGGTAACTTTTACACTTGTTTTAATGGTCTGACTGTATGAAGAAGAATGTAATAATGATACTTATATATTGGAAGGTAAAGACTATTTAGGAGAAACAATCTGCATGTAAAGCCAATGCTATAAAAACGCACTCCATTCTTTTTTTAAAAGTTTTTATTTATTTAAGTAATCTCTACACCCAACATGGGGCTTGAGAGATCAAGAGTCACATGCTCTTCTGACTAAGCCAGCCAGGCACCCTAAAAATGTACTCCATTTGCATTTCCTTTAAACTGTAACACCAAACCAAAATTAATTCAAACTTAACACTTGTTTATTAAAATCTAGTTATATTTACTAGTGTCATTCATCTCCCAAACATTTATTATAGTATAAAAGTAGTTTTTAGGGGCGCCTGGGTGGCTCAGTCGTTCAGCGTCTGCCTTCGGCTCAGGTCATGATCCCAGGGTCCTGGGATCGAGCCCTGCATCGGGCTCCCTGCTCAGCGGGAAGCCTGCTTCTCCCTCTCCCACTCCCCCGGCTTGTGTTCCCTCTCTTGCTGTGTCTCTCTCTGTCAAATAAATAAATAAAATCTTAAAAAAAAAAAAGTAGTTTTTAAAAAGCATGTTAATTTAAAAAATAGAAATAAAAAGCATGTTCATTTTTAATCACATTCAAAAACTTCAGACGATCTCTTGAAAAAACATCTAGAGCAAGTATGTCAATTGTGTCAAAAAGACCCATCTAGGGAAGCTCATCCAGACTGGTCTTCTGGATGCTCCCTATACTGAAGTGAAGATGCATATGTGAAGATACTTTAATCCGACTAATGTACAAAAATACCAGAAGTAAACTTGCACTGCTTTTTCAAAATCAATACAATAACTTAATGGTCAGAACTACTGCAGAAAGCCATGGTTGGACAAAGCCGAACAAAACAAAGTATAAAGACAGTGTTTGAGGCTCAAATGGCTACCACATCATGTTAGGAGACTGGATGGGGGTAGGGGGCCTAGATCAGCACAGTGGTTAAATACAGTAGATTCAGGTAATGATTTACTTTAAGAGAAGCCACAATAGATAGCTTACAGAAGTTTCCAAAACTTTATAAACTTGCTTTTTAATTAAAATGTAACTTCCAGTTGAAACAATCAAAACATAATTTTTCCTGCATTTACAATGACCCCCCTGCTTTCCTATATTTAATATAATATATGTAAATTATGCTCTTCTCCTCTATTAATATACACAAAACTTGGTTCATAACAAATACTATCGTGACAGAAATAGTAGGGGTGAAAATACAGCTACCATAAGTTGGGTGATGGGCAAAAGGGTCCATGAAAATAAATTAAACATAACTGGTTTAGAACATCTATGCATTTCTGAAGCTTCAGTTACTCAGAAGTATTCGAAAAACTTATCTGTACTACTAACTACAGCAGCTGACATCTATAATTGGGGGTATAAACAAGACATTAGAATGTCACTCATTTATTGTAGACTCTTCCAAAGAAGACAATCACAGAAACTGGTTACACTGGGTACTGAACTAGTTATATGGGGCTCTGAAACTAATCAAGCCAGATTTGATAGAATCAGGTTTGCTAATTATGAGATATAGTTAACAAGAGATACTGGAATAGATTGAGTCATGTATCTGATGTCACAAAATTTGAAAGTAAAACAGACTCATCTGATGCTATGCATGTGAAGAATTTCATGACCAAATAAGACATTTGTTTTACAGTTTAAGTTTTTATTTTTATTTATTTTAAAGATATATTTATTTATTTTAGCATGAGTGAACAAGCATGTGGCGGGGGGGGGCTGGTAGTAGTGGAGGGGCAGAGGGAGAGGGAGAGAGAATCCCAAGCCGACTCCATGCTGAGTGTGGAACCAGACATGGGGCTCAATCCCACGGTCCTGAGATCATGACCAGAGCCAAAATCAAGAGTCGGATACTTAACTGACTGAGCCACCCAGGTGCCCCTACAATTTAGGTTTTTAAATATAAACTGCTCCAAGGTCTGAATTTGGGTGTTCAATGTGTTTTTCTTGAATAGTTATTAACTTCCTAAAGTGAGTCGATCAAGTTTGCTAAGTAGTTTCTCATGCTTTCTCTTTTGTATCATATTTTTAAAAAGTAGAACAGTACTAAAAGAAAAGCAAAACCTTTTTTTTTATTACTATGATTTTAGTAACCTCCCCTGTTTTGCTAAACCTATTCTCCTTGATTTTGCCAAAAACGATGTATTTTATTCCGGGTGCTTTCTCAGTTCATTTTGTATCTAGGCATAGATACCAAATAAACCACCTGGCCAGTGAGCTCAGGATTGTCTCTCAACAGTTCACTGAATTTTTTAAAAGCCTGAACACAACCTCCAGAAGTAACCAAGAACCTACTTTGTTCTGTTCTACTGTAAAGTCATTTTACATTGGTTTAGAGAACTAGGGCAACTAACTGCTACCATACTAGAATATATAGTACTTTCACTATATATACATAGGGAGGTATAATTATACATATATGTAATATAAATGATATACAGTACACATGCCATATTATTATGACATATACATAAGATGATACATATCATAATATGAGGTACATGAGCTCTGTCAGACTTAGGGAATACTAAAAGCATATCATTACAATCTTAAAATTTTTCTAACATATAAATAGGGATCTTTTCTGATTCATTATGCTTGCCATGTGTAATCACTAACTGAAATACACCGGGAATTTTCGAATTGTGTTCTGCAGAACCTGGGGAAAGGAAGGGGCAGGCAGAGAAGTACAGTAGGTAGGACTCAGCGCTTTGTACACTTACCCTAACAATACCACCTCTACATTTACGTAGGACTTCCAGATATAAAACTTACATTTGGGGTTAAAAAGCAGAGATCTGATGGGGCACCTGGGTGGCTGTTGGTTAAGCGTCATGATCTAATGGGTCATGAGACTGAGCCCCACATGGGGCTCTGCGCTCAGCGGGGGAATCTGCTTGAAGATTCTCTTCCTCTGCCCTTCCCCCTATTCGTGCTCCCATGCTCATTCGCTCTCTAAAATAAATAAATCTTTAAAAAAAAAGTAGAGATTTGCTGCTCACATGCACTAAGTAATAAGTAAAGAACCAGTTTAGCATTAAAAATGACTATTTCAATATTGCGAAGAGTTCATGACACTTGGACCTTAATCCTTCAGCTACCTGTGAACTCAATTATAAATCTATGCATGTCCAAACATACTTTTGCATTTTGTATGCAAAGAAAATGACTAATAATGCCTAAATAGATTTAAAGACAAATGAGGACAAAGAGAAGCAAAAGGAAAAGTTGTCAAATAAAAAACCTGTGATGCTCACACCCTTTCTAAGATAACCACCCCTGATTATAGCCCTGCTGCTGGGGCTGTGTGGGCGGCCGTGGGTGTTACGCATGACTATCCCTCCAGCTGTCAGACCAAAGGTGGGCAGCTGACCAGTGGTAGCCAATCTACGGGCTGGCCTACAATCCATCCTACGGCCTGATGTGAAAAGACAAATAAGAGAAATCAAATTCTCTGTGAGCACCCTACAGCGAGTGAACAATGATGGAGGCAGCAGACGCAGAAGCTGCACGCATGTAAAATAAGGAGCCAGGAGGCAGAAGTGAGGCCACAGAGGGGCGTTGTGGGCCACAGCTCCTGGAAGGCAGAAAACACGTAGAGGATCCAAGGCAGGAAAACAAGAAAAGAAGGAAAGAATGTGAGACAAAACAAAGCAGATACAAAGACTTCCCACAGGATAGAAATGCAGACAGCAGGACAAAGTGACAGTCCCCTGAGAGTGCTTCTGTTCCCAGTAACTTTTCTCATTTCAGCAGAGGACTGGCCTTACTTACTTACTTAAAGGCAAAACAAAACAAAACTCATTTTCTTCAGATACTCTGAGTGAGTCTCAGACTCTGTTCCCCACAGCTGGAACTTAATTAGAAAAATTGTAACGATCTAAAACCCAGGTTAATGAGAAATTTACACAGATAGTACATGCCCTTAAAAAGTTATGTACAGCACAAGAGCCTTCAGATGTGCTGAATTCCCCAGAAATGGTGCCAACTCATCACACAGCCAATATACGAACTTATGTGGTTGTCAAGATTAAATCACACTAACAGCACTCTGCAACACAGCTAGTTGTCTGGGTTTTAACCACTCAAACCCCAAATTCAAAAACCTGGGTGTGTATTACCAGTTTGGAGTTTCTTTTATACTGAATTCTTATCAAACCATGCTACCCTAGAATTCATTGTTACTTACGAAGGCCAGTATGAAAGAACAGACCAGAAGCATTTATACCCCAGCAAAGGCAGAATCATTTTTAAAGAAGCTGTTATACGGACAGACTAGAAAGACTGTATAAGCAGCCTCACTGTTCTTAAAGAATTACGTCAAATGCACTAATAACCTCTAGTCTGAGTTGATATTATATACTCTGGAGAAGAGGTTACAAACCAGCAGCCAAAGACCACAGCTAGCCTGTAGAAGGGTGTGGTCTGTCTGCGGTGTTTTTTGGTTTTTGTTTTTAAATTACACTAGCTGATCAAACTCAAAAATCAAAAGATAATACACGTAAGAGATGAAATTTCTGGCTTCTCTTGACACATCAGATGATTTGCCCATATGGGCCCACATTATTTTCATACAAGTGAACAAAGGATTACAGCCAACGAGCAGTTAGTTACTCCATTTACAATGCGCAAGTGCATTCCAGTTTCTCCTCATTTTCTCCTGTTGCTTGCCAAACCTTGTGAGTAATTTTTAGTTTGTAACCTCTGCTCTAGAGACAGGAGACAGAAATCTCACCCGGGCATCAACATATAACAATTATTAATCTACAAATAGCAATACCACACTTAAAACACGTTGATAACTAAGGTAATATGAGATACTTCAGAATTTCTAGTCCCAATAGCATTTGGGATTTCATGACAGTTAAGAGCAGCTCTAAGCTGGCAGATCTAAACTGGCACCAACCCCTCCCCGCCGCCCCAACCCTTTCACCATGCCATCCCTCCTTACCTTTTCTGTCAGGCTTGAGGTTCCTATCCACGGGGGGTGGTTCACAGTCTGCAACAGGAACTGGCCTTCGGGGAGGGGTCTTTGGGCTGGACCGGAAGCCCATATGAGCAGGAGGAGGAACTTGCATTCCAAATGAAGAAAAATCAAATGTTCCCGGAGTCATTGGCACATAATTTGCTTCCTGAATTGGTTCCGTAAAACTGCTGGAATGTTGTCGTGGAGGAGAATTGGGATTCATTGGGACGTAATTTTCATCCAGTTCTTCACTTGATACGCTTCCCACTGTCAATATATTTTTGATTTTCTAAAACACACATACATTTCTTTTAATAAACAGAAACTATTATCAAACAGGAAAACACAAGTCTAAGTCACACCTATTCATACGGAGCTGAAAGGACTTGTATTTCGTGATCTCATTTAGTCTCAGGGCACTGTGTGTGAAGATCCTGAGAGTGAAATACACTTGATGACGCCAGGTCAATTATACTTACAAAGTGGTTATGGAAGCCTTCAAGTGAACTAGATCTGTCACTTGGAAATGTTCGTGGAATATCATAGCAGTCTTGAGAACTAGCATCTAAAACAGAAAACAAACGATCAGCATTTCTTCTCACCTTTGCCAGTTCTCAGAATGGTCTGTTCTCTCTTTACACACCTGTGTGCAGGTATGTGTGCACACACACAGATTTTTTAAAAAGATGCTCACAGAATAATATCCCGAATGGGCACATTAAATCATTAGAAAATGCAAACACTCACTATATGCTGACCAGTACCAGCATTTGATTACGGCAATGAATGAATGTCTAAGCCCAGGATGAGATGGATTATTTAAAGATGGAGAAAGAAATACTTTTCTTTTCTCAGCTTCTGTACCACCTTGGTCCTAACTTATACCTCAGTAACCTTTAATCAGATTACAGAGCCACTTCATGAAGAGAATCAGAAACTGGTAGTGAATGGCCAAGTCAAGTCTCCCTATTATTACTCTTCGTGATGCATTAAATCTTTATTTTCTTTAGGATAGGTGGGTAACTCTACCACAACATACAGAAACATTAGCACACGGTTTTTAGGGTATGGACATCTTAAACTCTGGCCTTCTATCTCTAGGACTTTAAGAACCTCAGAGTGTAACCCAGACTGAATCTTTCTCCCCTCAAGGTCTGTAACTTTTGGCAGGCTCTGGGACATGGTGTAGGACTAAGTGAAGTGGCCAGGGTAAGGGGAGAGAAGATTCCGAGCTTTAGAGATAAATAAAACCAAACAAAAGCGGAATGGCACGACTGGAACAGAGTTTACTAGTTAGACACAACGTGTAAACTGCTTATCGAGGAAGGAAGGAAATGGAGCCCAGCAGATGGGACACAGAAGCAGCCATAATGGCACACAAATACAGGAAAGGGATGACTCGGAGAGGCTTTGTGGCTGGTCCATTTCCTGCTCCTCTGCCCCAGTAGAGAGTCCACCCACCCAGGATACATGGAAAGCAGGAAAGAGGGGTGCACACTTCCTGAGGCAGGAAGGTATTACTAAGGCCATACTTCTTCAGGGGTGAAAAACTCCAAGTCTTTCTCCCTGCCAGCAGAACATGCACTCAGGCACACGCTGCATGCACAAACACCCTTCCAACCATCTACTGAGACTCCGATAGCTTCGCTACATGAGTGGGTAACCGCAGAGCTGAAGAAAAAAAGGACTATCATTTAACATCATACGATGCTGCAAAGAACAAATATTCAGACGCACATATTTTCTACCATTAACCTCTTAACACAGTAGAAGCCAGTTAGAGCTGACCTTTTCGCAATTTGTTCAAATCCACAGTGGAAATGGTATTACTACGTGATGGTGGCATCCCTGCTGTAGGGATACAGTAACTATTGTCAGTATCTGAGGCCGTGCGTGGGATACTGCACGTTTCCACAGGAGATCGGTCATGAGCTGGATGTGGTTTCGGCGGCCGAGGTGGAGGAATATCTGGAATAGTGTCTAGCTTTGACGTCTGTCCCAAAGTTCCTTCTGGAAATGTTCGTGGAATCTGATAAGTATTACCAGGTGTTGGAGGAATGTCATAACTAATAGATACATGCCTCATTTGAGTCTCTACACTTGATGTCCCAGATGGGGTATTAAAAACATAGAGTTCTCCATCTGCCTCGGTACTCGATGGAGACACCTTTGGTAAAACATCGTGGGAGTAACTCCTGGGCAGGTTATAAAGGCTGGAGTCTACAGAAACAGATGCAGCACGAGACGGTGGAGAGTCATACATCATTTGCTGCTGAAAAAAGCCATTCATTCCATGTTTGTTCTGGGAGGAAGCAGGATTTTTATGAGAAGGGACGTTATCATTGCAGTCTGTTTCAGAAGAGGTGGATTTTGCAGAATCAGCGTGTGTTCTAAATAAAAATTGTTAATGACAAAATAAAACATGGTGAAGACATAAGACTACATTTTAATAAATATATTTATAGCTTAGCAATCAAAATACATGGCTTTTTTTCATTTGATTTTTTGTGCGATCCATAAGATTTAAGCATGAAGGTTTCTTAGTCTTTATGATTATACACCAGACAACAAAACCACCACCACAAAACCACCAAAAGCATTCTCCCTAATGCCTGTCCTGTATCGGCCCACACCCCCAACTCCACCTATAGAACCCACACATAAAACCATGATCCCTGAGGCAGTGGAATTAGAAAGATACAAAACTCTGAGAAAGGTAAATGATTAAGGCATAGACACAAGGAAAAGCATTTCCTCTGAAGAGCATGCAGAAACCTCGTGCCAACACTTATCAAGTTGGTCCATTGCTCTTTATTTAGCTTACCTCTGCCAACTGTTGTTCTTTAAGACTAACAGCCTAATGATTACCTGGTATTGCATAAATTCAATGTAACCTACAAGGAGGTGGTAACTTGAAAGGTTTTGTGTATCTTTCTTTCTACTAATTTTTTTCTTTTTTTTTTTTTTCAAGATTTTATTTATTTATTTGACAGAGAGAGACACGGCGGGAGAGGGAACACAAGCAGGGGGAGTGGGAGAGGAAGAAGCAGGCTTCCTGCTGAGCAGGGAGCCCGATGCGGGCTTCGATCCCAAGACCCCGGGATCATGACCTGAGCCGAAGGCAGACACTTAACGACTGAGCCACCCAGGTGCCCCTCTACTAATTTTCTTTAACAAACACTTAGCCCATACTGTAAAGATGATCAAAATACAACCCACAGAGTTGGCCAACTCCAAAAAATAATTAACCTTGAGAACTCTCATTAGAGTCTTTTTAATGTTTTGGGTACATTTCTAGTTTCTGCCTTTTGCAGTAACACAAAATTTGGGTAGAAGCCAAAATGAAGCTAACAATACTAGCACCCTGCATGCACTTCCTTAATGGTTAACAAGATACCTTAACTACTGTGAATGTTGTCCAAAGTCCTGTAGGAACTTGAATTTAATCTTCTGAAAAATAACTTGTGATAGTCTTTTTAAGGTCTGATCTTTCCTGATTTCTTAATAATGCCTGGCACTGTGTATCACATTTATTCGTTCAAACTCTTTGCCTCTGGTGTCACAGAGCCCATACTGCAACATCCTCATTTCCCTTCTCCCCCCTCACTGATTGTTCCCTTCTTTCACTGACTGGTTCCTTCTTCCTGCGCCTCTACCTTGGAACAGCCAACAGAATTCAGTCTTCTAATGCTTTACCACACACACCATTTAAAAATCCTCCTTTCTCGGACGCCTGGGTGGCTCAGTCGTTAAGCGTCTGCCTTCGGCTCAGGTCATGATCCCAGGGTCCTGGGATGGAGCCCCGCATCGGGCTCCCTGCTCAGCGGGAAGCCTGCTTCTCCCTCTCCCACTCCCCCTGCTTGTGCTCCTGCTCTCACTATCTCTCTCTGGGTCAAATAAATAAATAAAATCTTTAAAAAAAAAAATCCTCCTTTCCCATAACTTCACCTTCTGCTGAATGTTGACAACTCCGATCTTCTCAATCGAACTCTGAGTCCCGTATTTTCAAACTGTTCAAATATATTTCTACTTGGTTATTCTGGTGTTACCTTCCTTGAGTGTACCAAACCCAACTCAACTTACTTACTTCTCAAATTGATTGTCCTTTCTGACTTGCCATTAAAAGAAATCTCTTCATCCAGAATCTCGAGGCTCAAAATGCTATCAGCTTTGATTCATTCTCTTTGATCTCCACCACCGAGGCACCAAGTTCTTCTTCTAACCAAGTAACTATTCCCCAGCTCTGTTCCCACTGTCACCACCTCATGTTCAGATCCGGGTCTCTGCTACGATTCATACTACTAAACCTTCCTAAGAAGTCCTAGTGGAATTCTTTCCTCCAGTCTCTCCTTCTTCCAATGAACCCAAGGGACCATACTGCTATACTGCTGTAAGGTCAGTATTTGCAGAACACGGTTTTCGTATCACTCATCTACTTGGAGAAAATCCTTTTAAGGGTCCCAACTGGCTGTGGGAACTACAAAAAGCCCACAAACAACTCCACTTGGTACTGAGGCTACCATCGCTGGCTCCATCTGGCATGCCCTATCTTATGTGCTACTCTCCCCCAGTGGAACCTCTACTACAGGCAAGCTCTCCTCCTCATTAGCTTCCTCCCAGCCCTCACTCTTACCTTGCCTTTCCCTAAAAAAATTTTTACACGGATTGCGAATGACAGGGTCCTCTTCTCTCACCAACCAGTGTAGTTCAAATCCTACTCCTCCTTTGAAGCATTTCACCTTCCATCTTAAAAATACTTGCACTGTCCCTTCTAAGAATTTCTAATGCACCTACACATATTCTAAAATTTGCACTTCACTGAATTCAAACAAGTGAGTTAAGAAAAGCTAGAAGTACAATGAGTAGTAAGTTCCCTGCCCTTGACTGGCTTATTGTTTGGTGACGAATAAATTAAAATATCAAGCTATTTCCAATTCTGTGATAAAACACAGATTAGGGGGCACAACCAGGATGCTAAGAAAACCCACACAGGCATTTCGTCCAGCCTGGGAGTTTGGGAAATGTTTTCTAGAGGAGTACATGCCTGAGCTGAGTCCTGCAGGATGAATAAGAGTTTGCAAGGCAATTATCCTGACTTCATCTACAAACACTTAACGTTTTTGCATGTTCTGACTTCTTCAAAAGCTTCCCTTAAAAACTCTGAAGGGACTTATCTGAGGCGGCTGTATCTTACGTAATTAGTCTGTACCTTCACAGCACCCTGCAAAAGAGTGGGCACATAGTGGGTACTTCATAAATATTTGTCAATTAACTGTCACTTCTGCAAAATATATCTGAGCAAGGACTCTGAGCATATTTTCTACTACAACAGGAAAGCTGTAATACCAATGAGATCAATGAAAGATACCATATAAAAAGAAAATGTACTGAAAACTGCCACTTAGCTGCTGGCTTTAAAAAAGTTGATATTGGAAAAATAATTGTGAATCTCCGTAAAATAAAATCTTAGTTAGTAGCACAGGTAACAAAGTTGCGAATGTGTAATTTTAAATACTCACAGCAAACAAGCAAAATCAAGTTAGAATTTGGTATTATTAACTAGTGTTGATTTATAAAAAGATTTCTTTTTTTGCTCTTACAGGTAAAATCCCATTACAACAAATATGTGGAAACCCAACTTTGGAATGTTTGTATTCCAATACCTCAGGGAATAATTCACAGCAACTAAACTGTGGTTCTTGACAAATTCTGTATAAAAATTGAACAAGCGCTTTGTATGATCTTTAGCCCAGTAACAGTCACTTTCTCCATGAAAACAACTTTTTTGTTATAAAATAAAATAATGCTTAATATCCAATCATTCTGTTTAAAAAATATCTTTCACATCTACTATGCAATTCATTCCCACTTTTATGTATTGCAAATCAAGATGTAAATATCCCCAACATCACTAGTTGCCACATTGCTGTTAATGGCAGAAACGGGCTCCCCAATCTCTATTTTCTGGCTCCAATTCTGTTACCTCAGGCCTTCCAATTACTTAACAGTAAATGACAAGAATGATCAAATTAAAATATCGTATAACTTTAAAGAAGAGAGCAGGAATGGAGATGACGGGGAAACAAAGCATTTGAGAAACGCTTTATGATACCTTTGGGCAAGCACTGAAATCCACATGCTTCTTTCTACTTAAAAATGTATGAAGTCAGAGTACGCTCCACTTCACTGCTAGATAGGATGATTGGGAAGTTTTAGTTTTTAGCAATTTATTTGATTTCATCAAATTTCACTAAAACCCAGTTTGTATATCCCATAAAATTTGCTATATTGGGATTTTACCTGAATAATTAATTTCTCACACAGATCCAAAGCAACCACAACACACTCACTGCAATGGAATCGTTTTGCTTTCAAAATCTTCTAGTAGTAGGTATTCCTCTCCTTCTTCAGAAACAAAAGATGACCCTTGGCTGGTTTACAATCACATAAGAAATGGAGCAAGATCACCATTTATAAATCAGTGAAATCTGTTAAGCAAGTAATACTGTGAGTCTGTAACAAAGACTACGGAACAGGAGACAGATTTCCAAAAGAGCCTTGTAGGTACAAGTGTTCTCTACCTAGATAGTAGAGAACATGTTTCTCCCGTAAATCTCCTGAATATCAGAAATGTTAGAGGAATATACCCTGAAATATAATAAGCCTAAAATATAAATCTATATAGTTGAGTTTCTTTTAGGCCTTCGAATCAGAACTGAAAAAGTTTAAAGGTAAGATTTCTAAATGTACACACACACACACACACACACACACACACACACACACACACACCCACGCGCACACAGGCATCTGTGGTTTACCTGGTGGGTTCAGGCTTCTTGCTTTGACAGTTGATTAGCAAGAGGTAGTCTTGAGGATCCTCCTGGATGCCAAGGGTTTCTAGGTGTGGTGGTAGGTTAATTAGCTGATATGGAGGAGGCGCAACAGCGGAGGATGAATCCACCTGGGTGGATGGTGGTGCTGTATTTACAGCTAAAGGTAAATCAGCTGGCGCTTGTATGGAGCTGCCAGGTGGCTTCACAGGATCTGCAACACCAAAATGTAACTATCATCATCTATCCCATTCTAAGAATTTTTTCTTAAATAAAGCTACTTCAAAGTTTGGAGATAAACTGTTTAAACACACAAAAGCATGATAAGCCATGACAATGTCAATTAAAACAAATACTACCTAAATAGCAAGATTTATACAGGAAATAATTGGCTCTTGTCAAAGAGATCTGAAGAGTAGGGCTCTTTCTTCCAGAGGCTGTAATAAAGCCATGGTGAATGGTGAACTTTGTCTTGAACAGTCTTTAGTTTTGAGGCTACTGGCAATGAAGATGTTCTACAATCTTAGCACAAGAGATAGATTTTTTTCCACGATAAAAAATAAAGTCGGGACGTCTGGGTGGCTCAGTCAGTTAAGCGTCTAACTTTTGGTTTCAGCTCAGGTCATGATCTCAGGGTCCTGGAATTGAGCCCTGTGTCAGGCTCCATGCTCAGCAGGGAGTCTGCTTGAGGATTCTCTCTCTCCCTCTGCCCCTTCCCATCGCTCTCGCGGGCGCTCTCTCTCTCTCAAACAAATAAATAAATTTTTAAAACAAAACAAAACAAAAAACCAAAGTGTTTCCCAATCCAAGCCAACTTTCCAAGGAGGCCCATCTTGTTATATGGCACCTACAGGCACAAGCATCACCTCTTTATCTCATCTTTATTTGCTGTTCATTCTTTTCTTTCTACTTCCTCAGCAGACTAAGGAGAAATAGTTCTAATTGTGGGATTCATGTTCAGAGAAAGAGCTTTTTTTGACATCTCCTCTTCCCTCAGCTCATAGCCTCAAGTGCCATTTACTGGATTTCCGTAATATTTTCATGCAAAAGGGGACAGCAAGTAAAGGAATAATTTATTAAGCACTTAACAACGTTCTGAAAAGACATATGAAACTACCTAAATTGTCTAGAGCGAAGTAATTTGAAAACAAGTTGAAAACCGAGAGATAAAATCCCACTGTAATCACTGACACAACCAAGTACATTTTGAAGAGCCCAGAAGAAAAATTCTCTGTTGGTCTGGTTAGGAATACAAGACCATACACCCAGAAAAAGACAAACGCTCATATATGAATAAACAAATTTGTTTACTGTCTATGTTAAAACAGAAAAACCTGGGTTGAAACTGAGATTTTTTATAACAAAACATTCCCTAAAAGACAATAAAAAGTGGTAAAAGGACTTAATATGTTCTATCAAATAAAATCAAATGCAGGTCATCTGGCCTGTTAGATTACCAGGGAGGAGCTACATGTCAGCTCTAGCTTCTCTAGATACTACAGAGTAAGTCCATATGCTTTTGATAATGTCTTCATGTATTCAACTTTAATATTTGTATATGCACCCCAGTGAAATTTATGTAGTTTGTATTTTATGGCTCTTCTTCCTAGGCACAGAAGCTCATATCATAATTGCTAAGCTTGAATAATAACACATTAGTATGGCTAAATATAAGTTTACCTTTATTTGTGGTTCCCCAAAACAAACAAAAAGGATCAGAACTCCTATGCAATCGTTTGCCCTACATGTTGTAGATGCTCAAAAGGGTTTCATTCACCCAGTGCAAACTCACTGAGCACTTTCTCTATGTCTTGTTGGAAGAGGCCAGGGGCACTCGCAAATCTTCAAGACCCATTCAACTGAATGTGCAGTTTGGAATGTGCTCCTTAAGAAATATAGGGGCCCTACTAGATGCCAACTAAGTTTAAAGACTTCTTTCAGTTGGAAAGTTTGGCCTGAGTAAATAGAAGTTGAGCTAATTTCTAACTTTTTTATCAGTTATGCTGCAGGCAATGTCGTCTTCATACAAGCTCGTCTAATAAAATCTTAATTCTTAATGCCAGGAGTTTATTAGTTAATTCTTTCTCTTTCATGAAAGGTGAGAAAAGATAATGGTGAGAAAAGAAAAATATTTTGGGGGGACATTTATACGACATAATGCCATAATTTCAGTGGGAACTCATAAATATCATGTCTAACAGATGATTATAAATAGTGTATATAACATACTCTAGGAAATAATGTTTTACTGTTTTGAACTAATTACAAATCTGAAAGATTTATTTAAGGGGATATTAAAGGCCCTAGATTAACCAGTGACTCAGGAAATCCTTGTGGCTTGTTAAACTTAATAGAACTATGAAAAATATTTAAATTTTAAAGAAAAGTTTTTGGAAAAACATACACAACATTGAGGAGAAAAAAAAGAGCAGAGTGGTCAGAAAGCACTTATTGTATCCTACAGGCTGTATTCACAAATATATTTTACATACTTCTCCTTTTTGTACTGTAGAGGTGTGGTAAAATTGTACGATCCCATTCAATTTTTAGTTTTGGCCAAAACAAAATGAAACTTAACACTGGAAATACATCACTACATAAAATAGTATGAGAATTCTAATTTTCCAGTGTAACTCCCAAAGTAAGTTTTCCAGGTGGCTGTTTTTACAGATACACTTTTCCTTTAATTTTTTTTTTATTTTAAATTTGATAGCTATACACTAAATTAACTGAGTCATCTTAGGTAGGAAAAGAATCACCCAGCCAGGTGATCACATTTGTCTGACTTGTTTTATTAACACAATGGGACCATCTCATTTTTAAACTTCCATTTCTCCCACCTGTGAATGACTAAAGTTTTTTTTTACCCTCTTTAAAGATGAAAGATCCTCTCAATTTCTGGAAAAAAGAAAAAAAAGGGATTCAAAGGTTCCTCTTTTTTTTTTTTTTGGTCTTTGTCAGTGTTTTCTTGAAATTAAAATAGATATGTTATACAATATGCATTATTTTTAAAATCCTTTTGTTCCTCACTATTTCTGGTATTTGGAGCTCATTCCCTAGGAACACAGATGAATTTAGTTGCATTTAACATTGAGAGAGAGTTTTATCAATGAATATATTTTACAATTTATTATTCTATTTTGTGACTCATAGACATTAATGCCATTTCTACTTTTGTGCTATTACATGTCTTTACACGGTGAAGGCAGTGGTGTGGAGTAGAATTCAGTGATTCATCATATACATACAAAAATAAGTGCCCTCTTTAACATCTACCACCCATCTAGCCCACCCCCAATCAACCTCCACCCATCACGCCTCAGTTTGTTTTCTATCGTTAAGAGTCTCTTATGGTTTGTTTCCCTCTTTCCCTTTCCATTTGATCATCTGTTTTGAGTGAGATCATATGGTATTTGTCTTTCTCTGCCTGACTTATTTCACTTAGTATAATATACTCTTAAGAGCTCCATCCCAAAGTATATAATATCCTGATCACACTATGGGAAGGCTTACATCTACTTCTAAGAGGCAAGAACTAGAGAGAACTTCAAGTCTGTTCACAAGCAAGCTCACGAAAGAAAAGACCTTTACACAGCCATGAAAAGCAAGCCCAACCATTCCAAACAACATGGCATACAAAGGACTTTAAGAGGGAAGGGATGGGGCGCCTGGGTGGCTCAGTTGTTAAGTGTCTGCCTTCGGCTCAGGTCATGATCCCAAGGTCCTGGGATGGAGCCCCACATTGGGCTCCCTGCTCGGCGGGAAGCCCGCTTCTCCCTCTCCCACTCCCCCTGCTTGTGTTCCCTCTCTCGCTGTGTCTCTCTCTGTGTCAAATAAATAAATAAATAAAATCTTTAAAAAAAAAAAATAAAGAGGGAAGGGAACACTGCTCTACCACTTTGGCTCAGATAATGCCCTGCCTCCAAAGTTTTAGTCTTTGGGATTATTTTACTCATACTCCTATTTCTCAGCTCTGCATATTTTAATGCAAGCATTGCAGTATGTCTAAATATGCCTTAATATAAAATTTCTGGTCAAAGTTAACCAACTGGTGTGAAAAAATTAACTTCTATTTCACTTTATAAAGGCATGTGATTTGCCTCATTCTACCCAACGAGTAGTTGAGCAACCACATTTGTTGCTTTCTGCCTCACCTAGGTTTCTAACTTACCGCTGCTCTAAGTAATGGCTGGTATCAACTTTCTGAGAACCAAATATCAGTTTAGGGTTTGCTTATGTGTGTAAAATTATTCCCTGTCTCTTAATTCAAAAGGCATAAAGAGTATAATTAGCATCCATTAAAGGCTTAATGAGTTGCTAGAGCAAATTCTTAATTGAATTTTACTAAGAAAGCTAATAAGTACTGGTAAAGTAAGCCTTAACCAGCTTTCAGTGAAGAGAAGCAAATTATGATGTGAGAACCACAAATAATAAGTTGGTCCACAGATCCCTAGCTTAATGCACAGTTTTATCCTGTTTGGAACCATAATGCCCTGGTGTTATGTCCCTCACAGGAGTTGGGGTGCCCAGATAATGCCTCTAAACATTCAAAATAATACATCTACACACACATACCAAAAGGCATAAGAGCTTAAGCCCAGGGAAGCAATTCTACTCTTTCTCATTGGTAAGGAGAATATTTCAAAGTTAATGTGACAGGTTCTCTGATTTTTTTTTTTTTTTTTTTTAGATTTTATTTATTCGACACAGAGAGAGAGACAGTGAGAGAGAGAGATGACAAGCAGGGGGAGCCGCAGGCAGAGGGAGAGGGAGAAGCAGGCTCCCCACACAGCAAGGAGCCCGATGCAGGGCTCGATCCCAGCACTCTGGAATCATGACCTGGCTGAAGGCAGCGGCTTGACCAACTGAGCCACCCAGGCGTCCCAGGTTCTCTGATTTTATAGCTACTGCCATACTCTATCAACCATGTGGTAATAAAACTGAGGTGCTGCTCATGTCCTTGTCAGGAGACCAGATGAGATCCTTGTCTCTCGAGATGGACTACGCTTGCTGCAAGGATATTTTTGGGTTTCTACTACAAAAATTACCTTTATGTCACAATTAAAGGTAAATAGGTCAGGGTTATTCTGTTTCTATTGATTACTAATTTACCTGTCTGTTGTAGAATTTGTTTTTTGTCAAGAAGCATTTTGATTGGATGTATGTCTAATTAACTCAGCAAATAAGACTCTACCCACAAAGAGGAGTATTATC